CTTCCCTCTCACTCTGGTTCATCCTTCCAGATGGCTCTGCCCACCCAAGCAACCCAGACTGTGAAGAGTCCCGGGAAAGCAGCAGTAGCGGCGGCTCCGAGCCAGAGCCTTCTGGCCGTCAGCTCTTCTGCCTAGAATATGAGGCGGACAGCGGCGAGGTCACATCTGTTATCGTGTATCAGGTACGCCTGGCAGAGACAGCTACAGCCTGACGGTGCCCAGGAACTGGTAGAAATCACTGCCAGCCCCCGAGCCACTGTTTCCATCAGGGTCAGAGGGGAGTGTCTGCTCCACATGGGGGCACAAACTCCGGGCAGTGCTTTTGAGCACAGCTCCCGCCACACAGTGATCCTCAGCGGGCCACAGGGCGGGCTCATGGCCCTCAGTTGAGAGTCACTGTCACAGGGGATACCTGGGAAATGGCAGGCGCTGGCACGTGTGAGTCAAATGGAGTTCTTTGAGAGCGCAGTCTAGGGACAGGGCAGGTGGCCTTTCCAGAAGAGGCCAGACCCTGAGCTTCCTGACTCTTCCTCCACGTAGGACGATGATCCAGGAAGGGTGAGCCAGGAGGTGTCGGCACACACGCCTCTGGATCCACCCATGCAAGAGGCCCTCAAGTTGCGCATCAAGGAGGAGATTGCAAAGCGCCAGAGCCGAGACTGACGGGGCCGAAAGCATTCCCTCCAGGCTGTGGTCGCTGCCCAGGGAGCTCCCTAGTTTGGGGGTGCCAGGACCAGTCTGGGCTGAAATTGACACACAAACACACCCCAGAGCTGCTAGAAAAGGGTGCTGCAGGGACAATGCCTGGCCACCTTCCTTGTATGTTGGCCCATTGACCAGCCTGATTGGGAACTTTTGAGAATTTTGTTTGGCTAGCTTGGTGTTCTAGAAGCAGAGACGCCAGGGAGAGCCAAGTTTTATGAGCCTTATGCCAACATGCTGCTTTCTCACCGAGTTCATATGCCCTGGGATGGCTGGCCACTGCTGCTCCACCCAGCTCCGTGAACCACGTTATTTTAGGGTTCCTTCCCACCGTGCTTCTGCTCATGTTCATTCATGTTTTCTTAGGTCTTTTTTTTTT